GGTAAAGTGATAGCATATTCGTCTCGATAATTGAAACATCATGAAAAGAACTATTCGACTCCTGATTTAGAATTGGCCGCAGTTGTATTTGTTTTGAAGATTTAGTGCCATTATCTGTATGGAGTAAAGTGTGAAGTCTATACCGACCACAAGTACTTCTTCATGCAAAAAGAGTTGAATATGAGTCAGAAAAGATGGTTAGAGTTGATAAAATACTATGATCTTTAAATTCAGTATCATCCAGGTAAAGCTAACACCGTAGCTGATGCTTTGAGTAGAAAATCAATGAGGAACTTGGTATGTTTGATGATTCAACAAAAAAAGATATTGAAAGAGTCAGAAAGATCCGAGATTGAAGTGGTGTTACATGAACAGGGTGGATTGATGGCTGCTATTTCAACTCAATCGGTAATCATTGATGAGATTAAGGAAAAGCAAATGGATGATGAGTTCTGTAAGAAAGTGTTTGATGAATTTGAATCGAATCCAAAATCGAGGTTTGGCATTGAAAATAAGGTGTTGAAGTTTCAAAGGAGATTGTACATTCCAAATATTTTTTATTTGAAGAAGAGAGTTTTGGAAGAAGCTCATAAGTCAAAGTTTGCATTACATACGGACAACAACAAAATGTGGCGGGATTTGAAACAAAGTTACTGGTGGCCAAGCATGAAGAAAGAGATTGCAGAGTATGTCTTCAGTACCAGCAAGTCAAAGCTGAACATCAGAAGCCAGCAGGATTACTTCAACCTCTCCCTATTTTGGAATGGAAACGAGAACACATAACCATAAACTTCATCGTTGGTCTACCTTGGACACCTAGAGGTATGAACTATCTGGGTTATTGTGGATAGGTTGACAAAATCTGCACATTTCTACCTGTAAAGACTACTTATGATGCTTATAGACTTGCCACTATTTATGTCGATCAGATTATTCATTTGCATGGGGTTCCGATATCTATTGTTTCAAATAGGGATCCAAAATTTGTATCTAGACTCTGGAAAAGTCTTCAAAGAGCAATGGGGACCGAATTGACATTTAGTATTGCTTTCCATCTGCAAACCAATGGACAATTTGAGAGGACTCTACAGACCTTAGAAGATATGCTCTGAATGTGTGCCTTAGATTTTCAAGGACATTAGGAGACTTATTTATCGTTGGCAAACTTTGCTTAAAACAACAATTTTGATTCTAGTATCGATATGGCACCGCATGAAGCCTTGTATAGCAGGAAATGTAGATCTCCAGTCTATTGGATAGAAGTTAGGGATAGAGTTTTGCTTGGTCCCGAGATTGTGGAAATGACCACTGAAAATAGTCAAATCATTCAGCAAAGGCTTAAAACTACACAAAGCTGATAAAAAAGTTATGTGGATCATAAAAGAAGGGCTCTCGAGTATGAAGCTGGTGATCATATGTTCATTCGTGTGATTCTGATGAAGGGCCAATCAAGGTTTGGCAAGAAAGACAAGTTGTCACCCAAATATATTGGGCCGCTTTAGATTTTGAAAAGGTTTGGTTCAGTTGCATACTGAATTACTTTACCATCGGGGATGGAACAAATGCATAATGTGTTTCATGTATCAATGTTGAGGGCCAATCTCCAAGTTCTGTTCCATGTAATTGATTATCACCGGATAACTATTGATGGGAATATAGAGTATGAAGAGAAATCGATCCAAATCCTTGACCAACAAGTGAAACAATTGAGGAATAAAGAAATTCCTATGGTAAAAGTAGAATGGAAAGCGCACTATGACACAGAGGCAACTTGGGAGAAAGAAGATGAAATGAGGCAAATGTATCCTAAATTGTTTTCGAATCAAGGTAACGCAAGTTTGGAGGACTAAACTTCTTAAAGGGGGGAAGACTGTAACAACCCCGTCAATAAATTAATTAGATTAAATCAATTAAATTAAGCCTTGGATTAATTAACTTAAGCTTTAATTACTTAGCTTAAACCTTGATTAGTCAACTAAGTTAATTAAGCCTACATATATTAAGAATGAGATTAGGCTCATTATTTTACACTCAAAAATCTGTTGCGAACATTTTAGAGAGAGTGGGAGTTCAATTTTAGAAAGAGGAGGAGCTTGATTTGAAGATTTGGCTTGGAGATTTTGGAATTGTGAGGAAGAACTCAAGAATTGATTAGAGAAGGCTTGATTCAAGACTTTAGGTTAGTAATTAATCCTTAATTCATGAATTTAAGCCACCTATTATGTGAATTCAAAAAGATTATTTGATTAGTTGTGAGAATTGAAGTTAGAATGAAATTATTGGAATTGAATCTTACATGCATTCATGATTTTGAAGTGTCGTCCTATTAAAGCATGGTTCATGTTATCTATGTTTGAATGAAGGATTATATCTTACATGAATCCATAAATCATGTTGTTTTGGAACTCAATTTCATTTTTTTAAAGCTTTGGAAGAGAATTTGAAGCTAATTGCTTCTTGTATGGTGAATTCATGAAGTTTTCAACATAAGGTTTGAAGTGGGTTTTGTATTCATGTTTTTCAAGGTGTTCATGTATTTTAGAACATGTCATGCAAAGGTCTTTGGCTTTGAACTTGTGTTTTAGAGTTCAAAATATGTTCTGGAAAACCCAGAATTCGACCGCATCGCTTGAGCAAACAAGTTGTCGCTCGAGCACACATATCTTGCATCTAGTATTTTTGCAGACATTGGCAGTTGGCTCGAGCCACCAAGTTACCTCTCGAGTGACCGCCTTTTGTTTTCCACCTCGGTTCGAATGACCATCAAGCCTAGATTCAGACCATCTAGTACGTTTGCAGACTATCTAGTCCGCTCAAGCGACTGTAGACGCGCCCGAACATCCCGAGAAAATCCTGTTTTGTTCATTGGGCTCCATACAGTTCGAACTCAATGTCACGGTTCTTAATCTTATCTTGCAAAGTGCAATGCGAGATTGATAAATCACCAAAGAGTCCAAACCCGGTAAATCATTTTGAAAAACTGATTTTTAGAAAGAAGTGCCAAACATGGACTGCTTTGCCAGATACAGCGTCGCCACCTAAATATTTTATTTTTTGGGAAATTTAGGAAACCCTGACTCGTGCCTAAGGCCACATGTCCGTCATCACCAAAGTTGCCTCGGCTCGGGAACTTTGGTACGAGAGGGGAAGGTCATGCAATGAACACCCCCACTCGCCCGATCAAAGATCGGCCTTTACTAACATGATATCTTGTTTTTTTGAAAACACATGTGCTCTCATTCCGGTTATTAACCTAGAATTACTATGTGATGCGCACAGCATACAAGTATAGACTGGATCGCCTAAGTTGGAACAAAACATCTCATGTTTGTTTTTGAAAGCGGTTTGCTACTCGCAAGTAGACTAAAATGCGGATTTTGCCACCCTCAAGTGGGCTTAGAAAACATGGTGATTTGCCACTCTCAAGGGGGCTTAAAATCCACAATCAATGAATTGTTCCAATTCAAGTAATCCAACCTTCACCCACAGGCATTTAGGCAGTTATATCACATAAACAGTTAGCCTCATAGCAAGCATGCTATCATGGCAGTCACTCACACACATGCAAGGATGCTAAAGCATAAACACTTACCGAGTACTCCGAGCCAAAACAAAAGCTATGTTAGAAATCAATGCATGATCCTAGCTATGTCAAGAATGCATAATGCAACACATACCAGATGCAACTAAGATAGGCTCGGTTATTCTAAAATGTCATGTGAAATGCAATTTGATACATGTATTCAAACAGGAATTGAAATACAATGCAGTTAGTATGATGCGCCGAGCCCGGTGTATGGAAGACAAATGAATGGATGCAAACATGCGAGCATAAGGATGCTAATTGAAACATGCCCTAAAACTAACCATCATAAGCAGGTAAATAAAAGGGAGAAAGAAATGGGGGGTTAGAAGACATGCATCACACACACGCACACTTATTTACAACAGTTGTGCCCTCTCGGTGGAGGGTCCGAATGAATAATACAGAACCAGCTAGCTAATCTAAACTAATCTAATTAAACTAGTTATTACAGTACAGAATGAATACCAAGCTACAGCTAATTATTACACAACTCTAACTAATTAACAAATTAACTAAGTTAGCAATTAAATAAGCATATAAACTATATGATGTAGGCTGCCTCAGCTCTGCTTTGGATGACAAAGGATGCATGCATGCTCGGGTCACCTTGTTCGAAAATCCTTTGCGATGCCCCGATTTGCCTCTGTTTGCAATTGATCTCAGAACACTGTACAAAGCTCCAAAAGGATGAAACTCCACCAAAGGAACCTGTAGGAAGGCTACCGACCAGGTATTGGCCTTGGAGACCACCTACCGACCACTTTTTGTGGTGGGAACTAGAAAAAGTGGTCGGCCAGCCACTTTATCTAGTCGGCCGACCAGTTTTTGCTGCTGGTTTCTGGTTTTCTGCAACAGAGGGCAAGAAAGGGGCATGGCAAAGTATTTGCAACACATGTATGCACGACCATCCTCCCTATCATTACATAAGCTCAAGGGAGTGTAGGTCTCGACCCTTGGGCCGCCAATCACGCATCTCGATGCAAGATGGCCGAGGGGCCGAATTGCGCAACTCAATATGGAATGAATGCACATACAAACACCTAAAGCCTAGAACTCCGTCATGTATAGTCAAGAGTGTCGGTGACCGGGAATCAAGGTACGTTTCATCACTTTGAGTATGAAACGTGCCTCGTTTCCCGTGTTTGGACTAACGCCTATTCCAAACACAATGCAACAAACATGGCATGCACAATGCGACTCAATCATGCAACTTAATGCAACACAATTTGGACATGCAAGCATGCCAGGGATGATCATGCAAGCATGCAAACTAGCATACACGATGCTATGAACTATATGGCATACACAACGCTCATGACACTAACATACACAATGCACGTGGTAACCAACATACATAATGCAATGAAAATGGCATGCACAAGTGCTGGTTTGACTTATTCTCATAGTTTTTTTATTTTTTTTTTATTTTTTTCTGTATGATCTTAATTTCTTGTAAGACTAGTTGCATACAAGCTCAATTTCATTTCTTTCTTATCTTTTTACTATATTTTTATTTTTTGCATAGTACTAATAACATCAAAAATGAAAATTGGGATAATCCTTAGTGGTCCTCAATCATGTGTTGGATTTATTGCAGGTCACAATCTCATTCGCGAAGATAATACTAAATTCCATTAGACCCGGGACAGAGGTACTAGGAAGACTTCCAGAAACAGATATCTTTTGTGACATCAAACAATATCCTGCGGCCATTAGAACTCCAGGCATCTTGATAATCCGCTTCAATACTGGTTTACTTTGTTTTGCTAATGCCAATTTCATTAGAGAAAGGTAAAATTATTGTTTTGCTAAAAAATCATCGTTGTGTAATTTTAATTAGTTAAAAGAAGTTGGTAATGTTAATTGTTCTAGGATAATGAGATGGGTAATAGAAGAAGATAGAACAGAAGAAATTTCAAGTGGAAAGATTCACATAGTAGTTCTTGACATGTCCAGTAAGTTAAAAGTTTTTTCAACTGTTTTATTGGTTTGACATCTAGTATTCAAGCCAACAATTCTTGCTAAATAGATGCTGATTTTGCAAAGTTTCTTGATTTTGTAGATGTGATGAATATTGATACTTCAGGAATCTTGGCACTAGAAGAACTGCACAAGGAATTGGTCGCACGAGGCATAGAAGTGAGGCTGTGATCCTCCCTACCTCTAGAAATTTTAATTGGATTGCGTTTCTAATTGCTAAAAGAATATGTATCTATGTTTTTGCAGCTAGCTGTTGCCAATCCAAGGTGGCAAGTGATTGACAAGCTAAAAGTAGCCAAGTTTGTTGATAAAATTGGAAAAGGGCGAATTTTTCTCACTGTTTCTGAAGCTGTTGACACGTGGTTTGAGTCGAAAATGGTTGGTTCTTATAGTTATGTTTGATGGCATTGTGGGACTTTCATACACATCAAGTGGTGTTTGAGTAAGTGAGAGCAGTGGTGAGCAGAGATTCTATTTTAGATGCACGAGTGAATGTTAGAACCCACAAAAGTGTATGTGTGTAAATTAAATGTATAAATTAAATAAACAATAAAATAAAATAATTCAGAAAATAATTATATAAATTATTTCTCAAATTAAATGCTTACAGAAATTAATATCGAGACTTATGTTGAACACAATCTCCTTAAAGTAGATTTCGCCCTCGCTTCGGTGCTTCGAGTTTTACCCACGTCTACTTCCCAGGATGCAACGACTAACACTTAAATTTGTAGCATTACAAATTTAAGTCTGGCGAACCAAACCTATGTTGTAACTCTCTCTTTTTCTTCCTAAAATTAAATGCAAAAACTGATGCAAGAACACAAGAAGAACAGGAAAAGAAGGACGAAAATTTGAGGGAAAGAATTGAATGAAATGAATTGTTGGAAGCATGCTTTATATAGACAAAAAGGTGGTTGTTCCGAACAAGTATAAACCTGTTCGGACAGATTGAACAGGTGCCACACAAATTTGAATTTGTTTAGACAGATTCAGTTAGAGTTGAACCTCTTTTGAACCCTTTGAACCTATTCGGGTGGGTCTGAACCCGTTAGGGATTTTTTTGAGTGAAAGAAAAATTCTGGACCAATTTATTTTGAATTTTGAAAACAAAATAAAAAATAAATAAATAAATTACAAAAGTTTTTAGTCAAAAAAGATAAGTATTTGGCCGGACAAGCCCAACCCAACCTCACACCTTGCACCTGCGCCCAAGCCCAGCCCAGCCTGCAAGCACGTGTGTTTTTTATTTTGGGTCCAATGGGTCTAGCCACTTTACCCATAACCTCATTCTTCCACAAACTTGGGTATCCCTTGGGGCCTATCTCAAGCATCCCAAGCTAAGGTATATAAACTTATTCAAAACCTCAAGCCTTTCTAATGTGGGACAACCACATTTTACAAATGTGTAAGAAACCCACCAAAAACTAGTTCCACGAACCCGAAAACGAGCGTTGAATTCTCATTCATCCCGAAATGGTTTTGAGCAACCAAATACATGAATTTATTCACTACGCAGCATTAAACATGAACCCAATTAGAAGCGTTAAAAATAACCCTTGGGTCCCACCTTAATTAATGCTTAAAGTTAACAAAAAAATAAGGTAATACAAAAGCCAATTTCCAACAATACCCCACATGAATGGAATTCACGAGAATGGACATGCAACAAGATGTAGACAAAAAAAAAGTACATTAAGAAGATACACCACATCGAGATAGGCAGCTTTTGGCTTTAAACCTCCTCTAGTGAAAGCCTATCGAATTTACTGGCTAACTAGTGGACGCGATACCTTGAATTGTTCAATTGTTTGTGTAAGCCAAGACAATGGACTACACATAGTGTATCTGCAGACACAGTTTGGTTCTTATGTTTGTGTTCATTTTGGCCCTGAACAACGCTTGGTAATTCATGAGCGCTCTAGAAAAGTTGGCCTTCTCAATTCTCACAGAACCGGCCCAGTTCACGCTCATATAGGTGATTTCTTATTAAAAGTATCCTGCTATATCCTACTTGGATGTCCAAGCTATAAGAATCATTAAAAGCAAAACTCATCCTACTAACGCTACAAGTATCACTATTCTTATCATAGAAATGGGTAGGAGTAAACCTCCTTAGTAATACGTGAAGTCATCCATAATTTGGTTGTCCCTTTGAACCTAGATGTTGGGATCTCCAGTCAACTAGGTTGGGTTGCCATTATGGCGACTTTTAAGTAATAGGCTTTAATCTCATTCCCCTCGATAAATAGTACACTTGCTCTCTGGCTAGCCCTTTAGTCAATGGATCTGCAATATTCTCCTTTGACTTTATATATTCTATGAAAATTATTCCATATGAGAGCAAATGCCTAACGGTATTATGTCTTCAACGAATGTGTCAAGACTTACCGTTATACATATGATTTTGTGCCCGTCCTATTGCTGCTTCACCATCACAGTGAATGCATATAGCTGGCATAGGTTTAGGCCACATTGGAATGTCTTCTAAGAAATTACGAAGTCATTCTGCTTCTTCTCCTATATCTAATGCGATAAACTCAGATTCCATTGTCGACCTTGCTATGCATGTCTGCTTAGAGGATTTCCAAGAGACTGCAGCACCTACCAAGGTAAAGACATATCTATTAGTGGATTTTGAGTCTTTAGTATCTGATATCCAATTTGCATCGCTGTACCCCTTGAATACTGCTGGATATTTGGTATAATGTAAGCCATAATTCTAGTTATGTCTTAGATACCTAAGTACCCTAATTATCGCTTTCCAATGATCGGACCCTGGATTACTTGTGTACCTACTCAATTTGCTTACAGCATAGGCTAAATCTGGCCTAGTGTAATTCATTAAGTACATCAAGTTTCCGATTATTCGAGAGTACTCTAATTGTGATATGCCCACACTTGTATTTTTTGACTAATGAAGACTAATGTCAACAGGTGTTTTAGCAGGACGGTTGTCATGCTTTTCAAATTTCTCCAGAATCTTCTCAACATAGTGAGATTGAGATAAAGCATATCCTTCATATGTTCCAGTAATTTTTATTCCTAAATTTACATCTGTTACTCCCAAATCTTTCATGTCAAACTTTTTGTTCAACATTTTCTTTGTGGATTTAATCATGTCATTATTGTTTCTAATAATAAGCATGTCATCCACATAAAGACAAACTATGACATAGCATTTGTCTGTGCTTTTAACATAGACACATTTGTCACATTCGTTTATCTTAAAACCATTCGAAAGCATAGCGTGATCAATTTTTTCATGCCATTGTTTTGGAGCTTGTTTTAATCCATAAAAGGATTTGACAAGTTTACAAACCTTTTTCTCTTGGTCGGGAACTTGAAACCTTTTCTGGTTGTTCCATGTAGATTTCCTCATCTAACTCGCCATTCAAAAAAACTGTTTTAACATCCATTTGATGTATTTCTAGATTATACAAAGCTGCAATCGCAATCAACATGCGAATAGATATTATTCTTGTCACTGGTGAATAGATGTCAGAATAATCAAGGCCTTCCTTCTGCCAGTATCCCTTAACAACAAGCCTAGTCTTGTATTTATCTATTGAACCATTTGCTTTCATTTTTCTCTTGAATATCCACTTATATCCAAGAGGTTTACATTCTAGTGGAAGATCTACCAGTTCCCAAGTATGATTTTGTAGTATTAATTCAATTTCACTATTCACAACCTCTTTCCACAATGGAGCTTCAGGACTTGACATTGCTTCCTTGAAGTTTTAAGGCTCATTTTTTAATAGGTATGCTGGACCAAATGATTTAGAGATCCTAGCCCTTTTGCTACGTCTAGGTTCATCTACTTCATTATCGTTTTGGTCTTCACTGCTACCCATAGCAGTATCAAAAGTTCTTTTATTTAAACTTTTCTCTTTAATTTCCTAGCTAGGAAAAATGTGTTAAAAAAACGATACATTTCTTGACTCAATAATAGTGTTTACATGCATATCTGGATTTTCAGATCTATGAACTAAAAATCTATATGCACTACTATTATTGGCATATCCAATGAACACACAATCAACGGTCTTTGGTCCTATCTTAGTCATTTTGGGACTAGGGACTGCCACCTTGGCCAAACACCCCCACACTTTGAGGTAATTATAGGTAGGTCGTCGACTTTTCTATAATTCATAAGGTGTTTGATTGAGTTTCTTGTGGGGTACCCTGTTGAGGATAAAGTTAGCAAACAAAATTGACTCCCCCCACAAGTTCTGAGGTAACTCTGAACTAATCAACATGGCATTCATCATCTTTTTAGGAGTTCAATTCTTTCTCTCAGCTACACCATTTGACTGAGGAGAATAGGGTGCAGTGGTTTGGTGAATAATACCATGTTCAGAACAAAATTCTTCAAATGCGCATTATACTCACCACCTCTATCACCCCTCACTATCTTAATAGTTTTGCCAAGTTGATTTTCAACCTCAAGTTTATATTGCCTAAAAGCTTCTACGGCTTCATCTTTACTTCTCAACAAGTAAACATAGCAATATCAAGTGTAATCATCAATAAAAGTAATAAAGTACTTCTTACCTCCTTTAGTTTGAACAAATTTTAAATCACAGATATCTGTGTGAATTAAACTTAGAGGTTCAGTATTTCTTTCAACTTTATTAAATGATGCCTTAGTGAGTTTTGCCTCAACATAATTCTCACATTTATGATTAGGATCAAATTCTAAGTTAGGTAAACATTCTAAAGCAACAAGTCTACGCAAAGAATTAAAATTAATATGTCCTAATCTACCATACCATAAGAAAGAAGACTCAGTAATATAAACAGAAGATGTGTTCTTATTATTAAAAACCAAATTAGGTATAACAGTATTTATATTGAGCTTAAAAAGCCCATCACTCATGTAACCTCGCCCTGCATACATTCCACTCTTGGAGAGTACAACTTTATCAAATTCAAAGACTAATTTAAACCCATTCTTGATCACCAATGAACCAGAAATCAAATTCTTACGAATCTCTGGCACATGGAGTACATTGTTAAGAGTGAGTTTTTTCCCTGAGGTCATTTTCAGCACAATCTTTCCTTGTCCTTCTACAGTTAAAGTGGAGGAGTTTCCCATAAAAAGTTGTTCCCCACTTTCCACACTTTGTAGGTTGTGAACATCTTCTTATATGCAGAGATATGGCAGGTTGCTCTAGTATCCACCCACCATTCCTTGGGATTGCCCACCAAATTTTTTTCAGAGACTACTGCAGCAAGATTGATGTCTGCCACTCCATCGGAAAGATAAAAATCCTTAGCTATGTTGGCTTGTGTTGGCTTTTTGCTTGAACTCCCTCCGTCCTTGCGAACGTGACAATCCTTAGCACAATGCCCATCTTTGCCGCACACAAAACACTTGCCTTTGAACCTTTTGTTGAACCCGTTGTTGATCCCTTTATTTATCTTATTAGGGGATCCTTGTTTGGGACCATTGTCATCATGCTTCCGTTTCTTGTTGCTGAACTTTGACCCTTGTCCATGTTCCACAACATTTTCTTTAGCCTGCATGACATGCTTTCCTGACTTCTTGTCGGAACCTCGTTTGTCCCCCTCAATTTGGAGCCGCATTATC